CTCGATGGCACCTGACAACAACAACAACAACAGTATTTCTATTTCTAACTTTCTGAGGAAGTGCCATACCATTTTCCACAATGGTTGAACCATTTTACAGTCCCACCAGCAATGTAGGAGGGTCCCTGTCTCTCTACACCCTCTCTTGTGTTGTATTCTGTTTTTGTTTTTTAACTTCGCTATTAATGTTGGTATGAAATAATATCTCATTGTTTTGATTTGCATCTCTCTAATAGCCAATGATCTTGAACATTTCTTCATGTATTTGTTGACTGCCTGAGTATCATCCCTGGTGAAGTGTCCATTTATATCCTATGTCCATTTTTTAATTGGATTGTTTGTCTTTTTCTTGTAAAGGTGTTGTAGTTTTCTATAAATTTTAGAGATTAGTTCCTTATCTGATGTATCTTGCAAATTAATTTTTCCCAGTCTGTGGGTTCCCTTTACTATTTAGGCAACATCTTTTAATGCACAGAAGTGCCTTAATTTTAGGAGCCCCCAGCCATATATTTTGTCTTCTGTTGTTTGTGTGGTGTTAGTAATGTTTGATGGTATATTTATGCCGTGTAGTAAAGCCCCTAAGTTTGTGCCTATTTTTTCATTGGTGACCTTTATAGTTGTAGGTTTTGCACTTAGGTCTTTAATCCACGTTGAGTTTGTTAATGTATATAGTGTGAGGTTTGGGTCTTCTTTCATTCTTCTGCAACATCAAGAGACTATCCCTTCTCCACTTAATGTGTGTGGCGCTTTGTCAAAAATAAGCTTACTATGTGTGCGATGGATTCTCAATTCTGTTCCATTGATCTATGTATTTTTTGTTTTGACAATTGTGGCTGTGTAGTAAATTTTAAGATCAGGGAGTAAGAGGCCTCCAACTTTGTTCCTTGCATTGCTTGGTTTATCCATGGTTTCTTTCCTTTCCATAAAAAGTTAATAATCAGTTTTTCCATCTCTTTCAAGAATGATGTTGAAATCTAGATTGGTATTGCATTATATTTATATATTGCTTTGGGTAGTATTGACATTTTCACAATGTTAAGTCTTCCTATCTGTGAGCATGGTATATTCTTCCTTTTCTGTATATCTCTTTTGGTTTCTTGTAGTGGTGTTTTGTCATCTTCTTTGCATAGGTCTTTTGTTTCTCTGGTTAGATTTATTCCTAAATATTTCATCTTTTGGGTTGCTATTGTAAATAGTATTATTTTCCTAATTTCTTTTTCAGACCTGTCTTTATTAGCATAGAGAAATCCAACTGATTTTTGTATATTGATCTTGTACCCTGCTACTTTGCTGGATCTTTCAATGAGTTCCAATGATTTTCTTGCTGAGTCTTTGGAGTTTTCTATGTATGGCATCATAGTATCTGCAAATAGAGAGAGCTGTACTTCTTTGTCAATTTGGATGCCTTTAATTTACCTTTCTTGCATTATAGCTCTGGCTAAGATTCCCAACACAATATTGAATAGGAGTGATGATAAAGAACATCCTTGTCTGGTTCCTGTTCGCAAAGGGAAGGCTTTCAGTTTCTCTCCATTGTCTGATTCCGTGTTTTTTTAATCTGTAAAATGAGATTAACTATACCTGTGACCTCTCCCTAAAATTGGTCTCCGTTTCCCTGTTTGTAATATGAAGTGTTTGACCCAGACCTCCCTGTGTCCTTAGGTCTATCTAATAGGTGATGCCTTGGAGCTGCTGTGGGGACAAGAGACCAAGCAGACAGGTTGTGGCCCCTCTGCCCACAGCCAAACTTCAGTCCTCATTTGGGAAATCCTCTGAGACACTCCCATTCAATCCACTCTCTTGGCCTCCTTATATGCAGGTGAAGTTCTCCAACTTAAAAACAAAATACTCACACACACCTGGCATGTGATATATACATACACGTGTGTGTACAGGGGTGCTTTCCAAAGGCTTTTGCAATCTGGCTTTGTGAGGTTCCTGAATGGCACGTGTATTCCTGGCCTCAGGGTGGCTCCTCTGCTCTTTTTCAGAACGGAGTCATCTCTCTCATTGACTGCACCTTGCTGGAGGATCCAGAAAGCACTGAGGAGGAAGGTAAGTGTGAAAGGTACACACATGTACATGTGTGTGCCCTGATGTGTACATACACACACCTGGATAGGGCCCAGGTCCGTGTGAAAGGTGCACACATGTACATGTGTGTGCCCTGATGTGTACATACACACACCTGGATAGGGCCCAGGTCCGTGTGAAAGGTGCACACATGTACATGTGTGTGCCCTGATGTGTACATACACACACCTGAATGATAGGACTCAGGTACTATAATTTTTCTTGGGAGGAAAGAAGGGTGTGGCAGTGCTGATCCTCTCACCTGGACCCTGATAGGCCAGGGTCTGGTCTGTAGAGAAAGCTCCCTGGGCCAGCAGGTGAAAGGAGAGCAGACAGCAAATTCTGGATACTTTGGGGTTCCTCCACTCTCCAGATCTCAAACTAGTCCTATATGATTGGAGCTCTACTCAATTTTTCTATCTTTGAAATGGATATTTTCCACCTTAAGGAGGAAAAAACAAAGTCCCCCAAACAGCAAGTATCCCGGTGCTTTTCAATGCAGAGTAGGTTAAGGCAGGGGGTCCTTCAAATATTTTCCCACTTGAAAAATGACCCCCATACTCATTTTACTAATTTCATGTTTTGCCACTGGAAGCCAAAGGGCCTGGCCAAGACATAGACCACCTGGACTTTAAGATCGGGGTGGAGCCAAAGGACTCTCCACCCTTCACAGTCATCCTCGTGGCTTCGTCCAGACAGGAGAAGGCGGCATGGACCAGCGACATCAGCCAGGTAAGCAGTATCACGTGTTCCTGGAAGTGAGTGATCCCATCACAGCTGGCCTGGTTGGGCACACAAGGAGGCAGCTGCATTGTTCTAATGGGAAGAAGACAAGTCCCCTCCAGCTCCACACCCCCAAGGCGGAGCTTAGCTACCTGACCCTTGGCAGAGTCCCTAGGGACCATCTTAATGTGCATCTGGGGACCCCTGGCATCTGAATCACCTGGGAAGGTGATGTTTTAGAAATCCAGATTTCTGGACTTCCCCCCAAACCTACCAGATCAAAATCTCGGGTTTGGGACCCAGGAATCGGCATTTTCAGTACCTGCCCCCAGTCATTGGTGTGCACAGAAAGGTTGGAGAACCACTACCCCCAGGGTGTTAGAGATAGAGACTGGAGAGAGAGAGCAAAGGCCCACAGAGCTGGGTGCCTTCTCCAGTGAGTGAGACCAGGCCCTGGGTCCATTGTACAGAAAGGAGATTTCACGTCTGCCTTCACCTACTGTAGAAGTCCTGGTGGTGCAGTCATTTAAGCACTGGACTGCTAACTGAAATATCAGCAATTGGAACCCACCAGCTGCTCTGGGGGTAAGAAATGAGGCTGTCTGCTTCTGTAAAGATTTCCAGTCTTAGAAGCCTTCTGGAACACTTCTCAGTCCTAAAGGATCTATCTGTATGAGCTGGAATCAAGTTGATGGCGGCAGGTTTTTGCCTGCTGCAGAGAAAAGAGAGGGGAAATATTTGCAGGGATGCAGCTCTCCTCGGGTACTGGTGGATACACCCAGAGGCTTGTTAGCATCTGCAAAGAGATGGGCAAAGATTTGATTCTGGAAAGAGATTGGGCCCTTTCTGAGTCCGGCGTGGGCCTGTCATGAATCAGGGCAGCCCCACCCCAACCTGTCACTTGTACCCCTTACCATGGAGTGAGGCAAGTGAATGGCAGCAGGTGGCAGGAGAAGAGGGAAAGCTAGACAGGCAGTTTGGAGTGGTTGTGTCGTAGAAACAAGACTCTGGGAGGTACAAACAGTTGGCTCTCAACTACTAACCTAAAGGTTGGCAATTCAAACCCACTCAGTGTGCTGCGAAAGAAAGGTCTGGTGATCTGTTTCCATAAATATGGAGCAGTCCTGCTTTGTAAGGCCTGGAGTTACCGCAAATCAGAATCAATTCTGCAGCCATGAGTCCAACTGTTTGGGAGCCAGACAAAGCAGAGAGGGCCCAAGCTTCTACTTAGCAGAACCTGCCTCCCAACCTCCACACCCTCTTGTTTTCATGCCTCACTGCCAGCCCTCCTCTGCTACCTACTCCCCACCACCCTTCAGGCCTCTTGTCCATCTCAATCCCAGCAGAATCAGGCAGGGTGGGGACCATATACCACCCATGTCTGCTCTTTCTAAAGCTTAGCACCTTTTCAGAATCCCACAATCCCCCTGAGAAAGCTTGGGCCCTGACCGTGTGCACTGGGACTATTCATGACCCCATGAGCTTCAGTTGGACAAAGATTCCAGGAATCCCACCTAAAGGGTACCCCCAGGAACCAGACCTCCTGCTGACAGTGGGCATTGTCCCAGAGAGCATCAAGGACCACTTTCCTCAGACCCTCTGCTGGTTTCATAAAGCTCTGCTCCACCCTCTGCTCAAGCCCCCTCATTGCAGAGATGCTGAAAGAACCAGTGCTCAAGATTCTGGGAGTTGTGGGTTGGAGAACTTGGCATGGGAAATGCAAGCAGGCAGATACCTTGTTCTACAAGGTGCCTTCAGGAACCTGCTTTAGGGACCTGGCCTTGACTAGGAGGGGAGGCCTTGGGATTCCTTCACCCACTGAGCCTGCCTCTCTGCTGTCTGTCACTTCCCAGTAACTTTGACCCAATACACCTACTTAACACCAGAAGACCCTGCCTTGTTCCACTCCCCCAACCATTCCATCCACACCTGTAAGAAAGCCTCTCAGAACAGAAATGTACAGGTTCAGGGCTGGGGGCACCCCCACCACCACGACCAGCAAAACTTGGATTTTGAATTTTTTGATGATGAATAAAATATAAGGTCATCTGGTTCTCTCCAGCTGCAACCTTGCCTCCCCAAGGGCACATCACACATGTGGGTTTGAACATGTGAAACTGTCTCTGACATCATTCAGAGCATTGGCATCCTGGTGAGCAGAGGGCACAGCATACAGGGGCAGCACTGGCCCAAAGGAGGGGTGGAGGTCCTGCTGGGCTTGCCTCCCAGGAGAGAGAGGGTCCCTATACTCTGTGTCCTCACACCGGACCTCCACAGTGAGCAACAGAGTGGCCCATGGCAGACATACCCATTTCACAAACTACCTTATGAAGGAGGACTGATTATGCCCATTTTGCAGATAGGAAAGTCAAGTAAATCCCCCAAGGTCACCCAGCTGGGACTTGATTTCTGGCCAAAAGTGGGCAATGACCCTACCCTTGCTGGGATCATGCACTTGGCAGAAAGTGAAGTCAGTTTGTCAGGCTGGGGTTGGAGAACTGCTCATTCTGCAGAGCTCCTGGGAGGGTCCCAGAATAGACACTAAGGCTCTGACACCAGGGGTCCACTCTCTGTCTCCAGTGTGTAGATAATATCCGGTGCAATGGACTCATGATGAACGCGTTTGAAGAAAATTCCAAGGTCACTGTGCCGCAGATGATCAAGTGAGTGAGTGCCCGGTCTTGACCAGGCCACTTGTGGACACTGGGGTGGGCCACCACTGGGCTCAGAAAGATGCTGAGTGTCATTTTTTGGAGTTGGTTTATTTGCTCATTTGCTTTGAATGTGCTGGAGTGGATGATGGCTTTGGCATAATTGTTTGAACCTGTGAATTCTTGCAGTTGGTTGGTTAAAATGTAGTATTATGAATGAAATGATTGTTTATTTTTGTTGTGAATTGGGTGACGGTTTACAGGGCAGCTCAGTTTTCTGTTCAACAATGGAGACACATTTTGCTGCGTCTCATTGACTGCAGTCCCCACAGTGAAGCACCCCTTCCTTATCCATTCCCTCCTGCGTTTCCTGCTTCCATTCCTCCTTCTTCCCTGACCTTTCTGAACATTGTCCTTGGGAAAATGCTGCCTTTTTGATATCACCTTTTATTATTATTCTAAAGTGTGTATACCTCCGTAGGATTATTGTTCCCTTTATAAATCTGTCTATTGTTTGGCCGAAAGTTGATCCACGGAGGTGAATTCATTTCCAGACCTGAAGGATGAATGAAATATTTTTATGAACTATTTTTCTTTTCCTCATTACAAAATGAATACATAGAACACTTCAAGAGCACTTTGTAAAAGTGCAAAAATACAGACTCCAGGGCCCCCTCACTAATTTGAAAAGCCCAACCCCAGAGGTTAAGGAAGAGGCGCACTCCTGAACACAGCCCCTGTAGCTCCTTGGTCCTCACCCATTAATACCTCCAAGGTCAGTTAGGGGCTACTGTGAGTAATGCTGCTATGAACAGCTGAGCATTCATGTGAACAGATTTCCCTTATACCTTATAAGCTCAGCAATACATTCTTTTTGTTTGTTACATTTTATCCAAGGAGTCCTAGTGGCACAGGTTAAGCACTGGACTGCTAAGAGAAAAGACAGTGGTTCAAACCCACCAATCTCCCCTGGAAAAAAGACCTGGTAATTTGTAACCTTGGAAACCCTAAGGGGCGGAGCTACCCTCTTCTACAGATTCTCTGGGTGTCCAAATCACATCAATGGCACACAGAAAAGTTGCTCCAAAATGTCTAGGAGTTTTTTAGTGCTCACATTTTTAGGACATCATTGGGGGGAAAGCGTCTTAGCTCATTCTTCATGTCATCCGTCGAAGCTCCCTTTGCTTTCTAAATTGCCATCTTAGCTCTTGTGGGTGTGCCTGAAGGCTGGGGCACTCGGGCCCTAGCTTTCAGGGACCTCGCTGCCTGGTTGGGAAGACAGCATGGGCTCAAACAACTTCAGAGCCCAGTCACCTCTTCATCCTTACCCCCTCCTCAGGTCTGACGCCTCCTTATATTGTGACGACGTTGACATTCGCTTCAGCAAAACCATGAACTCCTGCAAAGTGCTGCAGATTCGGTACGCCAGCGTGGAGCGGCTGCTCGAGAGGCTGACAGACCTGCGTTTCCTGAGCATCGACTTCCTCAACACCTTCCTGCACTCGTACCGCGTCTTCACCACGGCCGTCGTGGTCCTGGACAAGCTCATCACCATCTACAAGAAGCCCATCAGCGCCATCCCTGCCAGGTGCGCCGGCCTCCCGACCGGAGCCCACAGGTGTTCTCTCCCTGGATCCACAGAGCTTCCATGCCTGGGGAAGACTGAGACTGGGATAGAGGGAGGTTGCACAGAAGCCTGCAGGTCATGGTAGACCCCTAGCACCTTGAGTCAGACATTCTCCTGACCAGACAGGAGGCAGAGGAGGGAGCCTTCACCACATGTCTCCTACAAACCATCAAGAGCATGACACTTGTATTTATGGACAACTGGTCATAAGTTATTAATCCCAAGGGCCCTTTGGTCTTCTCAGAGGGTCTACACAGGCTTCAAGGGTACAGTGTCAGGAATAGTTTCAATGAGGAAGCCATTGTTGCCACCTGCATCCCACCAGAGGTGGGTCACCCCTGACCACTTACTCCCACCCCCTGTCCTCCAGGTCCCTAGAGCTCTTGTTCGCCAGCGGCCAGAACAACAAACTTCTGTATGGTGACCCCCCCAAGTCCCCACGAGCCACCCGCAAGTTCTCCTCGCCACCACCCCTGTCCATCACCAAGACGTCGTCTCCAAGCCGCCGGCGGAAGCTCTCCCTGAACATCCCCATCATCACAGGTGGCAAGGCGCTGGACCTGGCTGCTCTCAGCTGCAATGCCAATGGCTATACCAGCATGTACTCAGCCATGTCGCCCTTCAGCAAGGCCACACTGGACACCAGCAAGCTCTACGTGTCCAGCAGCTTCGCCAACAAGATTCCAGATGAAGGCGATACAACTACTGAGAAAAGCGAAGACCCATCAGCTCTGAGCAAGCAAAGTGAGTGACTGTGTAGGATGAACTGTCCCTGGGCTCACGAGCCCACCGTGGCACTGCCCAGTCCAGCTAGACCTTGGGGCTGCTCATGGGGTCCCAGGCAGATCACAGAGGTTGTGCAGCACGTGGGGAGTGCAGGGAGGTGGGCAGGGAGGCCTATGTGGGAACCCAGGTGTCCAGGGGGAGGAAGGCAGAAGGTTGCTTTCTTCAGATGAGTTTCAGTTCCTGCTTGCCTGGTTGCAGCTTCAGCCTGCATCCCTACACTCACCCATCTGTCAGGATCCCAGAGGGAAGCAGATTCTCAGGCCTCGTTCTTGCCCTCTGGTATTCACAGTCTATTAGGGACACAGACCAGCTACTACACCTTGGACACTTGATACTGTGTTAGTTAGAGGGGTGCTTAAGGAGCATAGAAGATGGAATGGAGGTGCTATCAGGAGAGTCAGAGAAGTCTTCCTGGAGGATACATGGGAGCTAGATTTTCCCCAGGAGCAAAGGAGAACATTCTAGACAAAGGAAATGGATTATGCAACACTAAGAAGCAAGGAAAGCCATTGTCTTTTCAGGGAACAGCTTGAAGCTCAGCAGACCTGGTATGCTGGGTATGATGGGAGCAGGTAGAGATGATGCCAGAGCAGGACCCATCCTGATTGTTATAGAAGGGCATTTCTTTTGGTGGTCAGTCTGGTTCAATCTTAGATCAGGTCAGAGTACCACCAAAATCTATGTCGGTTAGCACTCACCCACACACAAACACAAACACACACAGCTTTGGGCTGGCCAGAAGGTCTAGACTTTGAGGAGGAGACCTTTGAAAAGGCTGTGGGAGATGGTCAGGATTGCTGTCCTCTGGGATGAGAAGAGAGGGGGCAGAGAGCTCTCCCAGCAGAGGGCACGGTGGAGAGGGGCAAAGCATCCAGGAGGCTCCATCACCAAGGAACATTTACTGTGGCACAAACAGTACACGGATGGTGTGCGCAGCCAAGTCGGTAACCAAGGGAACAGCCCACCAGAGAACCCCAAATGCCATCCTGCAGATGCAGAGTGTGGGATCCCAGTGGGGGTGGGCGGAGGGACAGAATCCATCTGACATAAACCAAGAGTGGCCCCCCTTCAGTGCTTCCAAGGCTGTTACATTGTAAAGTATAATGCAGGACCATCCTGAGAAATCTGCCACGGGGTTTCTTGAGGTGCAGGGGCCTGTGACCCTTGCCTTACGGGTGTGTGTGCATAGATACGTGGACTTTCTTATTATTATTATTTAGAGAAAGCCTGTAAGGAGCTCGGGTAGCATAGTGGTTACAAATAGGGCTGCGAACCTTAAGGTCAGCAGTTTGAAACTACCAGCCGCTCCGCGGGAGAAAGATGAGGCTTTCTGCTCCCGTAAAGATTTACAGCCTTGG